GTGGAAACGCTCTAAGGACAGACTTTCCCATTTCACGGTATGGCTGACACTCAAGTGTTTGTTGAATGAACAACTGATTGCTCTCAGAATTATCTCTATACTTTCTCTTTGGCTTTGAACCCGGTGGCTAGATTCTTTCTCAGTGACCGCATTACTCTGTACTCTCCTAGATTTTCTATTCGGGTATTCATGTTTGTTTCCTCCAGATTTCCCCATGTGTTCTAGGCTCCCAAGAGCAAAGGAGACTGTGTGTCCTGTTTACTTCGGTGAACTCAGCCTGCTACACCATGATTATCATATATATAGTTGGGACTCATTCAACATTTGTCCAATAGAATATTCAACTTGTTCCGTCACCAACTTACGTCTGTTTTCTTCTCCCGTATGCCACCTTGGTACCAGACCTTCCAAATCCACCCTCCTTGCCTGCGACCTCTCAAGTCGAGAATGCATTGGCTTAAAAGTGAACAATGCTCCTCTGCAAAGGTTTCCAACGTCCTCTTTGAAAGATTCCGCTTGCTCTTATAACTCCATCTTTGGTCGTACACATAATCTCAAGAGTCTGCGATCCCGTTGCTGACTTAGATGTGTGATCTGCTTTGTTTCATGAGTTTATGATTTATGGGAAGCTTGCATCCACTTTCTCTCAAGAACAAGAAAAGAGGACGATAGCAGTTTCTTTGGAAATATATGTTTTCCCTGCCCAGATCTCCGGGGACTCCACGTCCCCACTCACCAACCCCCTCCTGTTTTGCTTGCTTGCTTGTTTGTTGTTTTTGCTTTTGTTTTGTTTTTTGGTACTTTATGCGAGTACTTTTCCTGCAAAGCCCTGACAACCTGACCAGGTGAGGGATTGCCCAGATGAGGCGCAACTTTGGCGAGGCTGCTGGTGGGAATCCGCTCATCACCAATCTGGAATTTACACATTCATCTGCTCATCCAGCAGATGTTGAGGGAGCATCCACTCTGGGCCAGGACTGGGTCACGGCCCCTGTCCTGTCACCGCTCACCGGCTGGGGGCGAAGGCAGACAGTGAAAGGAGTAATGACGACACATGGGACGGCACAAGGTCTGAGAGCTCGGCTGTTATACCGATGCCCCGCCATGCAGCACGTCTTACAGTTGTGTTGACTTGGGTTTTCTCTCCGGTGAAGTGGGAGCATCACAGGGCTTATTTGGCAGAGCCATCACGAGGAGTTTTAGAGTTTTCACTGGGAAAGCGCTCAGAAGAGCACCTGGCAGGTTCACCTGTGAGCTCACGTGGCATGTTTACACATCCCCATTTTACAGATGCAGACACTGAGGCTCAGAGCCCTTCAACCGTGGGCCTTGAGTTCCGAAGGCCTCAAAGAGCATGGAGGGGTCTGAGAGATAGATCTCCATGACCTGTCCTATGGGATACAAGCCTGAGAGCTTTAGGCTCCCAGATTGTGCCCCAACACCTGACCGCCCGGGGCCAGACGTGCGGAAGCTGCTTCAGGGCACCCTGGCCAGGAACTTTGGAAAAAGTCCAATCTGGCCCAAGAGGCAAAAAAGAACTACACAGAGGCTAAATTCAACACCAGCTATGGGGTTTTTCTTCTTCTTCTCCCTCCAACCCCCCTCCTGCTGAGCTCTCTTAACTCTGAAAAACCAGAAACCCCATTTGCTAATAATAGGTTTTCTTGTATGATTCCTGGATTCAAGGTAGGTAAGAAATAGGAGAGAGATAAATGATTCAGAGTCCCCAAACGCAGGCATTTGGCCTGCGGTTTGGAGAGGGTTTCACGCTGTGAGGGAGACCTCAGAGCCCAGCCAAACCTGAAGCCTTCATGCAGTCTGGCAAGACCGCAAGTGCCATTTATGTGAAAGCACGGGCAGAAGCCTCCCGTCTCCAGTGCCAGCTGGGACCCCAGCCGTGGAAATATTGAGAACAGGTCTCATCTTCCTGCTCGCTCGCTCACGCCTGCTGCGCCCTGGTGAAGCAACCAGGCACGCAGAGGGTCCAGTGCCTTCGGTCCCCTGTGACCCTTTCAGCTCTGAAGGGGAAGGTGGAGAAGAAGAAACAGAAGAAGGAAGGAAGGTAGGAAGGAAGGAAAAAAGAAAGGAAGGAAGGAGTAAGAAATGGGAGGAAGGGAGAAAGAAAGGAAGGAAGAAAAAAAGGAAGGAAGGAAGGAAGGAAGGAAGGAAGGAAGGGAGAAAGGAAGGAAGGAAGGAAGGAAAGAAGGAAGGAAGGAAAGAAGGAAAAAAGAAAGAAAAAGAAAAAAAGGAAGGAAGGAAACAAGAAAGAAAGAGAAAAGAACCCCGCCCCCAAACTCAACTCTATGATGACCCAGAAGCTCTCCTTCCAAATATTGAAATTTGAGGCAAAAATAAACACCCAGCTCAGGGACGGGCTGTCACGAATTAAAAGAGTACATGCATCTGGCAGATTATTGAGCTACTACTGAACTGATTGTTGAAATGTTTCCAGTATAATGTTGGGTTAAAAAACAAGAAGGCAGAACTTTGGGTGAGCTCAACCCCATAAAGAAAATAAATACAGGTGGGGAAACATGGCCCAAAGGAACTACCCGCAAGCCATCACTCAGGAACATATGCCTTTGGGGGTGAGGAGTCTTCGTGGTGGCTTTATTTACCACTGATTTGATGAAGCTCGAGGCCGGCCCTTCTCCTGGCAGAAACATTCTGGAAGTAGATCCCTGCAATGATGGAATTAACTCTAAGTCTTAGCAATACAGCAGTACGGATCGCAGCCCTGCGGGAGGGGTCTAGGTAAGAAGGACGTGCCTGTGGAGGCTCCCTTTTCTGTTTCGCACAGAAAGACGTGCCTGACGCAAATGAGCACAAATTCCTTTATCAAAGTACTTCCCAATACACGTTACACAGAATGCAAATTCTGGAGATGCTCCCTCCACAAGGGCAAATCCACACGAACATTTGGAAATCACCTGGACTCCCTGCTGTTTCCCACTCGTGAAGGCTCACCAGGTGCATTGGTGATTAAAGGCCCTGACAAGTCCTGCATGGAGGCATATTTACTTGGCCGAGCCCAACTTGTCACAGATTCTTGGATCACACGCCCCTTTATTTCCTGTCATCCCTATGATTCTTCTGTGGGACTGGGGTCCCAGGAAAGAGCCATGGGAAGTGAACTGTGTTCGACTGCAAAATGACCACAGTCTTTCCCCTTCTCCAGTACCCACGCACTGTGACTGCAGCCAAGCACCAGATTATGTCCCCATCCGTGAATCCAGGCAGGCCTTTTGACTTGCTTTGGCCAATAAAATAAAACAGAAGGGACCGGGTGGTCGTTCTGGGCCTAGGCGTCAGGAGACCTGGCATACTTTCACTTCCTCTTAGAACGAACATGACCGCCACCACCACGGGAGTGAGCTCGAGCTCTCTGCGGGCAAGGGTTCCCAGTGGGGGTCCCTTGGACAAGCCAGCGCCCAGCCAACGCCGCAGCTGACCGCAAGCACATTTGTGAGTCCCGCTTGGACCAGAAGAACTGCCCGGCTGAACCTGACTCACAAGTTCATTGGAAGGACAAGGAGCTAAGGAGGTGGTGGTTTTGATAGCCACTAAATCTGGGAGTAGCTTGTCCTGAGCAAGAGCTGGCACACGTGTGTGTGTGTGCGCACACACACGCGTATAACAGGGATCGCCTTGAATTAAGTATATTTTTCTAAAAGTTAACAATCTGCAACTTTTCGGTTTTACTGTTTGTAAGGAATAATGATTCTAATGCACCGGCGTATGTCACTCAGGCTGGGAGATGGAGAACCGCACCGACAGAAGGATTTGGGCCGGATCTTTGCTTTCTCAAGGAAGGAAAAAAAAAAAAAAAGCCCTGCTCTCTGTGCACACTGCCCATAACGCTGTCTTCCCAAATCTCATCTCATTCAACAGGCTTCTTTTCTGCTTCTGGCTTCACGGAAAACTACGCTGTCTGCCCAGATGGGAGATTCACTTTGCTTTGTCTGCGGTTGCAGGGAAAGACGGAAAGGTGCAGGCGCAGATGAAAGTGAGGGTTTGCTAAGAACAGGGACTGAGGCTGGGGGCAGGGGCTGGGGCAGGGGAGGGGCTGGGTGTGGGAAAAGAGGCTTTCCAGGGCTGTGCAGAGCTGGGGTGAGCAGCCCAGAGCCGGCCAGTTGCAGCAACTGAGATCTGGGAGGCACATATGTTAAGAGGCCAAGGGCCTTGCCAGTGACCTGGTTGTTGATGGAGCGGCTCTTGAGCACAGCCCTGCCATCTTGTAAAAACGGTTTTATTTGTTCTTTTTTGTGAGAGTCCTGGGAAGCGATCATTAAAGGCACAGAGCCCAGGCAGTCAGCGCAGGTCTGGGAGTGTGCGCCTGTGTGTGCGCCTGCCCGGCCTCCCTCTGGCATACCTCCCCCGCCCCCACTTTTACAAGGGCCAACTGAGTTGCAAGGTTAAAGTCAGAGGGGACCAATTGGTGTTGTGGGGCTTTTTTACAAAGTGCAAAGGATCAAAGTAATTAGCAAAGGGCGAGAGACCAGGCCCGTCAGAGAGAGAAGCCAGCCACCCAACGCCTTCCGCACACGGCGCTCCCCGTCCCCAGGCCCACAGCTAACGCCTCGTTTGAGGGCCAGGAAAGGGTACTTTGCGGGGTGTGGGGTGCTGGACGGGGTTCCTTTGCTCTCAGGCAGGAAGCGCACCCAGAAGGAGCCAAGTCGGAGCCTGGAGAGCTTTGGGGGATCTCTAGGCGGCCTAAGATATTTGTTTCGGGCGGAGTCACCCCTGGCTAGAGCCAGACTTGGAGAACAGGGTGAGAGTAATGGACTCTTCCAGAACACTTCCAAAGCTTATCCTCTGTGATGACGCCAGGCCAAGACTCCCCGGGTCGAGCAAGGCGTGGCCCAGGGGATTCTTTTAAGTCGTCTACATACAAGGCTTTAAATTATATAGAATTACTCAGTGAATCGCTCCCTTCCTCCCTGCCTTCCTGCCCACCTCCCTCCCCCTCTCTCTGTGATTCTGCCAAGAAGAGTCTCTTTTGGATGCTGGCGAGCTGCAGTAGACAGACGAATGACCCTGAAAGCTGTCCCCACCTGTGACTGTGTCCCCTCTCCTGGCAGAAAGGACTCTGCAGGTGTGATCAGGGCTAAGGTCCTTGAGAAGAGGTGGGGCCATTCTAGTCACAGGAGTCCTTGAAATCCCAGAAGCTGCCTTGGCTGCAGAGAAAGAACTAGGAAGATGGGAGTGTGACAAGGCTCCGGTGACCCTGTGGCCGGTCCCGAGAAGTAGGGGTGACACCTGTTGGGACAGGACAGAGGCCTCCTGGAGGTAAGAGCAGCCCCCAGTGACAGCCAGCAAGGAAACAGACACTTTGGTCCTGCAAGGGTCCGGAACTGAATTTTGCCAGCACCCAAATGAGGGATTTGGGATTCTCCCCAGGGCTTCTAGAAGGGAACACAATCCTGCTCCAGTGGGACCTCTGACCCGCAGATCTGTAACATAATATGTTGTTTTAAATGATTGTATTTGTGATAATTAACACTTACTCCCTTTTTTGACTTACACACACACACAAATTAGCGAGCGCGTGCAAGAAGCCCTCCCACTCAGCGCTTCCGGAAGGGCGTAAAGACTCCGTTAAGATGTAATAGCATTGCAAGGTGTCCGTCGCACTTATTTCTAGAAAATAAATAGGAAGGAAAAAAACGCGGTTGTCACAAGCAACCGGGTAAGGCTTTGCAGCGCGGGGATGACGGCCAGACTTTGGAACCAAGCAGAACTGATTTTCACCCTTGGCTCTGCCCCCTTCACGCGGTGGGCCCTGAGTGAAGTACCTTGACTTCTCTGAGCCTGTTTCCTCAGCTATGAAAAAGGAGCTCCTGGGAAAGCCGTCCCTGGGCCGCAGTGCAGATGGAAACACCGTATCATTTGTAGACAGCACAGCTAGTGAAGTGCAGGAAACAATATGGTCCATTATTGTTACTCTTAGCCGCCCTCCCAGCAGGCAGTCGGTTCGCTTATTATTGCCTGTGATCTCTGACTCTGGCACTGCAGGGCTGCCCTGAGGGGGCCTTCTGGGCAGGGCTGGGGCAGACAGTGTCCAGACTCACCAGGCCTGAGCTGGTCCCTGTCACCCTGACACACGGAGAAAAGCAGAGAGGAAGGAACCCGCAGGCTGGTATGAGGCTGGGCGGCCACGCCTGCACGCAGACCCTCTTCTCCACCTAAGAGGCTCTGGCCCTTTTCAAGGACGGGGACTGAAGACACAACATACCCAGGCTGGGAACAGAGTAGTGCAAGGCTTCTCAGCCCTGACCAGGGAGGTGGCGTGTTAGGGGCATTTGTGTCCCGGGGGGCAACTTGGGGGAAGGGAAAAAAAAAGGCAGAAAAAGAAAGGGCTTTGTTCTTCGCATTGTGGGCTGTGCTTAAACAAAGTGTGGCTTGGAGGGCAGACAGGCTGGGGTTAGGGTGCCCGGTTCTGCCAGTTCCTCGCTGTGTGGCCTTGGACAAGTGGCTTCCTGTCTCTAATGACAACCACAGAATGCTCATTGAACCCCGGCTTCGTGCCGGGCTCTGTTCTAAGCAGATACAAATATTAGATAATTTAATCCTCACGACAACTCACTGGAGTAGGTATGATTGTTATCACCATTTTACACATGACAAGACAGAGGCACAGAGAGATTCTGCACCTTGCCCAGAGTCACACAGCTACTACGGGGCAGATCCAGGATTCCATCCAAGGCAGTTTATACTTTGCTTGTATGTGGGGATATATTATTTTCAAGACTTGTGGATTTGCTGTTGACTGTTTAAATCTTTAATGGCTATGCTTTCTTTTTTCAAAATTCTTAAGTTTATTTCTTTATTTTGAGGCAGAGAAAGAGAGAGAGAGAGAGCATGAGTAGGGTAGGGACAGAGAGAGAGGGAGAGAGAATTCCCAGTAGGCTCCACCCCAACATTGCGCAGAGCCCGACGCGGGGCTCGAACTCACAACTGTAAGATCATGACCTGAGCCCAAATCAAGAGTCAGATGCTGAACCCACTGGGCCACCCAGGCGCCCCTAAGGGCTATGCCTTCTTACCTCAATTTTTTAGATTCCAAATGTACTCATAAGAGTCTGAGGTCACACAGGGGTGCTTCTATCATTACGAGACTGGCTACGGACCCAGGTATCCTGACTTGATAGAGAGCACATCTCTTCCTCTGTTCGTTAAGCCGGCACACACTTATTTGACGCCTACTGCATACCCCATTCCGCGCATATATGATGTGCCTGCTGTGGCACCTCTGCCCTGACCCAAGCCCCGATCCTCCGCCCCATCCCACGCCCACCCGTGTGCCCAGGAAGCCAGGCCCTTCGCGGAGGAGAACTGCCGGGAGGCTTCCCCCGCGTTCGGGGCCCGGTCCGCAAGCCGCGGCGCCGCTGGGAGCCGAGCTTTCCGCCGGAGCACCCTCCTCGTTCCCGGGCGCCCGCCAGACTTCGGGGTCTTCTGCTAAAAGGGCGGACCCCAGCCGGGCAAGGGTCCTGGGCTTACGTGCTGTCATAGAAGGAATCGTACAGACGTGGGGCGCTGGAGGCTCCGACTGCGCCTGCGCATGCGCGCGCGCGCGCGTGGTGGGGGGCGGTTCCCAGAGAAGATTCTGCCCAGGAACCTCCGAGAGGCGGGAGCGCCTGCAGGGCCGAGGGGCGTGGCTCCAAGCCCCAGACACTCCGGGACACGACGGTGACGTCACCGGCGGCTCTCGCCTCCGCTCCTGCTGCGCATGCCTCGCTCTACCCCTCCGCAGGTGAGACTCTCTGACTTCTGCTTCCGGGTCCCGCCTTGCCAAAGAAAGGCCATCGGTGGGTCGGAGCCAATACGGAGGGTGTCAAGGTTGACTCGCAGCTCGGCCACCTCACTCAGTGGGGGACTTCGGGCTTGTTCCTTGGTGCCCCCGAGCCTCAGTCTTTGCACCTGTGAAATGGGCATCCTGAGGGAGTTCTGTTCGCTGCTGAGTGTCTCTGAAGAAGATCCTATGCTCCTTGGGTTGCCTGACACTCTGAATCCTTCCCTTCCCTGGCTGTGGGTCCCCCGGACCACCTAATCCTCACCAGGCTGACTCTCCTCAGCCCTTCGTTCTCTTCCCCGATCCCTGTCCTTTTGTGCCACCTGCTTCTCCTGTGCCCCTGCTCGTGGCTTGCTCTGCCTCCCTGGGCCTTCCCCCACCACTCCCCTCAACATGTGGGGGCTCACGGTGTCCCCCACCGCCCTGCCTGCCCATCTTAGCGTGCATTGCCTCTCTCTGCCCAGAATATTTCCCTGCCCTAATCGCTGCCTCATGACCGAAATGCAAAATCTTGCCTAGCCTTCAAGGCCCCGATGAAATGATTTTTCTTTCGAGAAGATTTCCTGTGGTCCTGTCCCCGCTGTGGTTTTCGTGGCGTCTTCTAAGCACCTACGAAGGATAATCACGGCAGTGAGGACGACGGTAAGAGCAAGGGGGTGTGCTCGGCTGTGCCAGTGGCCTCCCCGGAGCCGTGTTCTTCGCCCGGCCACTCTGTCCTCCCCTCTGGGTCTAACGGCAGCCGTGGGACTCACTTTGACCAACGGAATAGTAGCAAATTCAATGAGTAGAAGCCTGAGAGAGCGCCCAGGCCTTTCTTCCCACGGACCGTCTGGGGCTCCTGTGATTGCTTGGGCTAGCCCGCTACAGGATAAGACAGGTCTGTCTCCTCTCTAAGGAGAGGAGTTAGTTATTCCAGCCCGGGGCACCCCCGATCGGCCAACGTGAGTCAACTACGAGACGTGTGGGTGCACCCCAGTTGAGGTCAGAAGAAGCACAGAGCATACCCAGCAGAAATACCCAGCTGACTCCAGGACGCAGGAGTAATCATAAATGATTATATCTTGGGGATGCTTTGTTACACAGCAATAGCTAACTGATACAATCATCACCACTCAGCCCTTCCTGTGTGCCAGAACACCCTCTGGAATACACTATAAACATGATCTGATTGGTCCTCACCTGAACTGGGCATGATTCCCATTTTCAAGATGAGGACACTGAGGCTCAGAGAGCTTGTCCCTTCTCTAAGCCAGTGGCCCTAGCACGTGGCTCCATACCTTTCCTGGGAGCCTGATCCTGGCTTCCCTACTTTCTGCTGATGTGGCTCAGGGCAAGTGTCTTTTGCTTTTTGGGCCTCCTGTTTCCTAATCTCGGAAGCAAATATGATTACAGTTATCACGGTTATGGCTTGGTGCAATGTTGCGATACCAAGATTGATACAATGTTTACAAATTACCAAGATTGATGCAATGTTTGCAAATTGTGGAGATGAGTCAAAGTATTAGATACTCTGTTTCTCTTTCTGTTCTTTTTTGTTGTTGTCTGATAACCTGATATTTTTAGAGCTGTCATCTCCTCCCAAAGCTTGGAGGTGAAGTCTCCTTCACCTCCTTGAAGACGGGGTCCATGTCTAACTCTTCCGGGTCCCCCACCACGGTGCCTTGCCCACAGATCTGCTTCCATAAATACATACTATAAGTCTATTTTAACTCCTTTCGCTGGAAAATTAATAGTGAACTTAGTGCCCTCCGAAGAGGACATGGGAAAATTATGAAACATAGCTTAGTGTGACGGCTTTGAGTTAGACTCTGATAAGAACTTCTAGGGATGGAGGGGAAGCCATGGGGTTTTTTTGTTTTTGTTTCGGTTTGGTTTGGTTTTTGCAAAGGAGGTGTCCCACCTAGAGCCCTCTGAGCAAGTCTGTAAGCTCTGGAGTAGGCATAATTTTGAATCTATTTAGAGACAAGGGGGTGGTACCCAGAACGTGACCCCTGCGTGCCCTTGCCTGCTTCAGGGATCCTTGTGAGACTCGGGGAGAAAGCAGACAGAGCTCCTGCCTGTTTCCTTGCACTATTTTTCTCTGCAGCTGTCTCTGCATTTCAGAGTTCACATCTCTGCCAGGGACTCTATTTTGGGATTTGTGGGAACAGGCGGGTTTCGGCAAATAGGAAGCTCTTGAAATCTCAGCGAGCCTGTTCCCCCGGGGGCCTCCCAGCCTACTCTGAGGGCAGGAGAGGTCCAGGGGGGGTGCCCGGGGGCCCCCCCGACATGTGCAGACTGGAGAGAGGACGGCCCTTTCCCAGCAAAGCCCCTCATCCGATGCAATCAGCGATCAGCGATCAGTGCTCCGTTGTGCTGGGAGGGCCAAGATGGGGCTCCCGGGCAGGGCGCCCGCAAGCCTGCAGACGCAGGGCCTCATTTAGGTGCAAACCGACACCGAATGCCCCCACATCCCCTCTGTCTTTGCACATGGAGAGGAGTGGCAGGTGGAGAGCTG